GCCTCATCATCCTTGTCCCTGTCACCACAAAGTGACAAAGGCCAGCCAATGAATCATCATCATCATCATCACGCTGATAATATTTTTTAATCCGGAAAGGACCGGAAGTAGTCGACATCATCACAAAAAAAAGTCTTAAAAATTTTTTAAGTCGCGCCTCATCATCCTTGTCCCTGTCACAATATTGCCACAAAGTGACAAAGGCCAGCCAATGAATCAGTTGGCAATTGCAAGTGTCAAGGGCACCAAATCGATTCGCACTTGCAGAAGAAAATAATGAAAATTAGGGGTGATAGAGAGTGACTTAGCAGTCTGAGATAGCACGGGCAAGTTCGGGCCAGATCACCATTCATTAGCAATTTGCCACGTATCAGCAACAGTTCAGGGCATATATAATCACAGGCATGTATAATCACAGGCAAATATAGTCATGACAATGAGGGCTTTACTATCATAGTACCATCGTCATGAAATACACCATCACTGAAAAACCACGATCTCAACCCTTCTGCCCTCGTACTACTCAGACGATGATGATAATCACAGGTAAATATAATCACAGGCAAATATAATCACAGGCATGTATATTCACAGGCAAATATAATCACAGGTATTAAATATAATCACAGGCAAATATAATCACAGGGTGACAGGGATATATAATCACAGGCATATAAAATGAGGCCACGACGGTAAGACCAGACAGGGAGATGCAAAAGAGGAGACCACCGACTGAAGAGAGAGCACAGGCCAGGCTGGTCAGATGGGTGGTGCACTGGTTGTGAATAAGCATGCATACCTGAAGGAGAGCAGTGATAAAGAAGTGAAAGGCATGCGTATTTTCGTCGACTAGGATTGACAGTCGCCCACAAAATGACATTATTACATGCATCTGCATCCGACACAAAAGGACGGAGGGCACATAACATTCATCAGCAACTGCACCAACATACAAATACAAATGCATGAGCTTGTAGTAGCCTCACTGATTACACTGTAAATGATAATCTACCTTAACCAAAATCAAAGCAGACTATCACTCACCCACACCAGATGGAAAACTCTACAGACTGTCGGTTCACACCCCATCACAAGCCAGCAAAACATCCACGAAACAAAGAAAGGT